GAGGGGTAGAGGGTAGGTTTGGAGAGACAAATGGAGAATATTCAGCACAGTTTCTTTCGAGTTTAGCAAATAACTTCAATTGTAAGCCAAATATTTTCTAGAAAAATCTCTGGACTACTTTAATAAATTTGAGAGCTATTTGTAATGATCAAATTTGTAGGAATTTGAATAGAATGTTATATTTTAAAGAGAGAGATATTTGAAAATAATTTCTTCATTTGTTTTAATACCTGCTCTACCCCCATCCCCCCACCATACTATATGTAATCAACAGTTTATAAAAGAAATATTGCTAAGCAATGATAGATATCAGCTTGCGGTTAGAAGTGTCGTGAGCAGTCTAATGTTTGACTCTTGGCTTTGCCCTTTTCTTGTTGGGTGATCTTGGGCAAATTACTTACTCTGAGCTTCTGTTTAGTCATCTGCAAAACAGATGTGATAATATCCACTTCCTACAATGGTTGTATAGTTAAGAGAATTAAATGAAAGATGCATGTGAAGGCACCTGGTAGGCACTCAATACATTCTGATTGAATTTGAATCACAAATTCCAAATTAGTGGCTTCAAAATTCATGAAGTGAGGCCACAAGTTAGAATGAAGAGTGAATTTTTAAAATAAGAAAATCTGCATTTCAACTGTTAATGTCATCTATCACTCAATCAACAATTATGATAATATGATCAGCAAATGTTCTCTATTGATGGATTTTCACCATGTTTTGATTACAAATGTGAAATTTTGCTAGGATTCAACTTGTATTAGGAATGCAATTTCTTAATTATCTGATAACTTGCAAAAAATCCCCCAAACAAAAGAAAACAAAAGCAAGCCCTTTGTTATAGGATGTTGGTTACATCAAGACTTTGTACTTCACTCATTTAGTCAAAAGTGAGCATTACTGGTGAACATCAGCTATAGGGAAGCCTGAGGTGCATCATTTTGCAGCCCCTCTCAAACAAGTTGCCATGGTAATGTTGACATTCATAAACTCTTACTAGAGACTACTGAGAGTGTAGGGGAAAAACAAATATTGCACTTAGGGTTTTGATTCAAGAACATTTTACTTTCTGTGGTGTTAGCCAGGTTTCCTTTTTAGTTGCAAGCTCAGATTTGGTTATTACATTTATCAATTTTAGCAATCTTTGTTTCTATTAACTATGCTTTTACTGGCATACTTGTCAAGAACAAGAGCAAGTGGTACAACTCTAGTAGGCAGGTATGTTTTACACATAAGAATTACCCTGCTGGGGCCGGGCGCGGTGGCTCAAGCCTGTAATCCTAGCACTTTGGGAGGCCGAGACGGGCGGATCACGAGGTCAGGAGATCGAGACCATCCTGGCTAACATGGTGAAACCCCGTCTCTACTAAAAAATACAAAAAACTAGCCGGGCGCGGTGGCGGGCGCCTGTAGTCCCAGCTACTCGGGAGGCTGAGGCAGGAGAATGGCGTGAACCCGGGAGGCGGAGCTTGCAGTGAGCTGAGATCGGCCACTGCACTCCAGCCTGGGCGACAGAGCGAGACTCCGTCTCAAAAAAAAAAAAAAAAAAAAAAAGAATTACCCTGCTGGGTCAAAGCCACACTCTTTGTATCTTGCCGGTGACAGAAGCCCCTAGAATCATATCAGTTTCCCTTCCAAAGCAGTTTTAAGATACCCATGGATCTGCTACCACTAAATTTTTTTTCAACAAAAGACTGTGGTGTAAGGGGTTATTTACATTTGAATGGTCAAAACTTTTTTAGCAGCAGCACATTCCTTCTCTGCACAAACACATACACAAAATCTTTTCAAATCCATCATATAATGAGCAGCACCATGAGAGCAGGAACCTCGTTAGCTCCATTTGCCACCACACCCCTAGTGCCTAGAACAGTGGCTGGCACATAGTAGAAGCAGTACAGGATGGTGGCTTAGAGCAGGGGTTAGCATAGTATTTCTATAAAGTACCAAGTAGTAAATATTTCAGGGTTTGTGGGTCATATGATCTTTGCCACCTCTACTCAACTCTGCTGTTGTAGTAAGAGCAGGCATTAACAACACATAAGTGAATGGGCATTTCCGTGTTCCAATAAAACTTTATTGACAAAAATACAGGCAAAGTACTGGATTTTGCCCATGGGCCATAGTTTAGCAATCCAATCTGCCAACTGTAGTTTAAAACATGAACTCTGCACCTGGTCTGCCAGGTGTTTATCCTGGCACTACCACTGTGATCTTGTTATTAAGTTATTAATATGGGCGGCTGTTAAGTTCTTTGTGCCTCAGTTTCTTTATCTATGAAAAAGGGGGTCATGATAGATATTATGATATAGTTGTTAAGATTGTATGAGTGAATAGTGTGAAGCTTTAGGATAAGGACTTGCCTTGTATATCAGTGTTCATTATTATTTTTGCTGAATGGACGTCAGATGGACAAATCAATCTTTAAGGATACAAGACACAGGATGCCTTTAAAATCTATAGCATTTTACTCTCTCTCTTTTTTTTTTTTTTCTTTTTGAGACAGAGTCTCTCTCCATCACCCAGGCTGGAGTGCAGTGGTGTGATCTTGGCTCACTGCAACTTCTGCCTCCCGGGTTCAAACAATTCTCCTGCCTCAGCCTCCCAAGTAGCTGGGATTGTAGGCTCCCACCACCATGCCCAGCTAATTTTTTTTTTTTTTTTTTTTTTTTTTTTGTATTTTTAGTAGAGATGGGGTTTTGCCATGTTGGCCAGGCTGGCCTCGAACTTCTGACCTCAGGTGATTCACCCACGTTGACCTCCCAAAGTGCTGGGATTACAGGTGTGAGCCACCGTACCCAGCCACATTTTACTCTCTTTAAAAGTAGTCAGTGACAAGCTGGGGGAACAACACATGTGAAAATGCAGACTTTGGATATATGTTATAATTTTCGTCCCAGCATCCTATTTACAGTCATGCACTATGAAATAATATTTTGGTCAATAATGGACCATCCATATGACAGTGGTCCTATAAGATTAAAATGGAGCCAAAAAATTCCTATTGCCCAGTGATGTCGTAGCCCTCTTAACATCATAGCACTCACAATGCATTACTTATGTGTGTGTAGTGTTTATTTTTATTTTTAAATTAAGACAGAGTCTTGCTCTGTCACCTAGGCCGGCATGCAGTGGCATGATCTTGGCTCACTGCAGTCTCCATTTCCCAGGTTTCGACCATCCTCCCACCTCAGCTTCCTGAGTTGCTGGGAACTTCAGATGCGTGTCAGCCAATTTTTTGTATTTTTTCTGTAGAGCCAGGGTTTCACCATGTTGCCCAGGCTGGTCTCAACCTCCAGAGCTCAAGTGACCCACCTGCTTTGACCTCCCAAAGTGCTGAGATTACAGACATGTGCCATCGTGCCTGGCTACTTATATGTTTGTGGTGATGCTGGTGTAAACAAACCTACTGTGCTGTTAGTCAAATAAAAGTATAGCACATATGGTTATGTACAGCACATAGTATTTGATAATAAATTACTATATTACTGGTTTATGTATTTACTATACTATACTTTTATTATTTTAGAGTGTACATCTATTTATTTAAAAAAATAAAAGTTTGGCCAGCTGCAATGGCTCATGCTTGTAATCACAGCACTTTGGGAGGCCAAGGCAGGAGGATGGCTTGAGGCCAGGAGTTCAAGACCAGCCTGGGCAACAAAGCAAGACCCTGTGTCTACAAAACATTTTTTTTTTTTAATTAGCTGGGCATGGTGGTGTACACCTGTAGTCCTAGATACTCAGGAGGCTGAGATGGGGGGATTGCTTGAGTTCAGGTGTTCAAGGCTGGAGTGAACTGTGATTATATCACTGCACTCCAGCCTGGATGACAGAGACTTTGTCTCTAAAAATAAAATATAAATAAAAAGTTAACTGTAAAACAGCCTCAGGCAGGTCCTTCAGTAGATATTCCAGAAGAAGGCATTGTTATCATAGGAGATGAGGGCTCTGTATGTATTATTGACCCTGAATATCTTCCAGTGGGACAAGATGTGGAGGTGGAAGACAGTGATATTGATGATCCTGACCTTGTGGAGGCCTAGGCCTGTGTTTGTGTCTTAGTTTTTAATAAAAAAGTTTAAAAAGTAAAAAACAAAAAATTAATAGAAAAGAGCTTATAGAAATATAAAGAAAGAAAATATTCTTGTATAGCTATACAATGTGTTTGTGTTTTACGTTGTCATTGCAAGAGTCAAAAAGTTAAAAAGAAGTTTATAAAATAAGAAACTGATAGTAAGATACGGTTAATTTATTATTGAAGAAAGAAAAACATTTAAAATAAATTTAGTGTAGCCTAAGTGTGCAGTGTTTATAAAGTCTACAGTAGTACATGGTAATGTCCTAGGCCTTCACATTCACTCATCAATCATGGACTGACTCACCTAGAACAACTTACGGTCCTGCAAGCTCCAATCGTGGCAAGTATCCTAAACAGAGCTACCATTTTTATCTTCTATATTCTTACTGTACCTTTTCTATGTTTAAATATGCAAATCTGTACCATTGTGTCATGATTGCCTACAGTGTCCAGGATAGTAACTCCCTGTACTGTTTTGTGGCCTGGGAACAACAGGCTATAGCATACAGCCAGGTGTGTAGTGTGGGTGATATACCGTCTAGGTTCACGTAAGTACACTCTGTAATGTTTGTACGATGGCGAAATGGCCTAATGACACATTTCGCAGAGCATCCCCTTTGTTAAGCATCACCTTAACAAATTGTCTAATGACACGTTGCTCAGTGTTCCCCTTGTTGAGAGATGCATGACCGTATTTTGTTCTGACTTAAAGGTGTTAGGAAGAGCCTGGAAATGGTATTGGTGATGGTGTTGTTAGTCATCTCATCCTGCCATTTCTGGAGATTCTTTAAGCGGAGATGGCAAGGGAACTGT